AAAAAAAAAAAAAAAAAAAAAAAAGGGCGCTCTTGGAAAACGAATAGTCACAGAAACATGCCCCGTTTATTACTAAGCATCTCACCACCAAAGTCACTGCTCCTTCAAGCACGTTCCGTGGTGGCGTGGCTTCAAGATCTTCCCTTAAATTCATCAGGAGGAAAGGCAAGGTTTGTCGGACACGCACACTCCAAGTTCTAAATGAACAGCCCACCAAGTTTGTGGGAGGGTGTCGCCAGCGGATCGCTCTCTCCACGGGGCAATCTGCACGAATCCAGTACCCTCAACATCAACAGTTCCTCCCGGACAGTGCTTTAGTCACAGTCGACTCTTAAACAATCCCAATTAAGTTCTTTCCTGTAACTCAGATTTGGCCTGGTGCGACTGGACCACGGCCCTTGGACACTGCAGGGTTCACACGGGAAGGCTATAACAGTTTTCCGAACTGCTAGTGGCACTGCTAGAGCTCTTACCGAGACAAATTGCATTTTTCCTAGTAAATCTTCCAGTTCCGTTTTTGCACTCCGCAACTCCACGTTCGGTGTCCACGCCAGGTGCTCTGCGGCGGACAGTCAGCAGGCTTTCTACTTGCAGGAGTTCCTGGTTTGGAGGAAGGGCTGCACGGACAGAGACCTCGCTGAAGCAGCCGCGCGGTGCGTAGGAACCTAGCGCCACCTCCATGCAGCACCACTTTGCCGCTTTGGCCGGCTAGTCCCAAACTGTAGACTGGCGAAGCCCAAAAGGGAAAAATACCCTTCAACAATCCTCAGTCGGTCAAATACTTGGGAAGGCAGGGTGACACAGCACTGTTGTAGACTGCGCCGAGTGCGAGGGTGAATCGTGGTAAACATACACACAAGCACAAGCACAAGCACACGCACAAATGGCCCAAACTTTACTTCCCGTGAACAATTATTTCTTGCAGCTCGGTCCGGGTGAGGCAAACTCTCACTGGAAGGATCCTTTCCAAGAAGCTGTGGACGGTCATGGGGTGCCTCTTAGAGCAAAGCATTTTTGTTGAGGGTGCCCCAGCTATGCATTATCCGGTGATTGCTCGGCTGGCCGTCGAGGGAAGAGTAGGAAGTTGGGACAGAAGCTTGCTATCTCTGGTGCCAAACCTTGCAAATGGCTGCGAAAGGGGCTGGGCCTCCAGACTCTTAATCCCTCCCCTTTCCCAGCTGAGTCTTTCACCTGCTACCGTCCAGTTTACAATATAAGCGTAGAACCTAAATTAGTCCAATTCCAAAAGCTAGCTATCACAAGTCCCTGGGCAGATCTTCACCAACATCTAAGAGAGCTTCAGGTGTTCCCTGGGGAAAAAATGTTACTTGAGGGGATGGACAAAAAAGGTGGGTCGACTGGGGATTATTTTCAGAAAATGATGAGTAGGCTCCTCTATTCGAAAGACCTCGGGGACCCTCGGAGCTCCCCTAGGAAGTCACTGCAGCAAAGTCCTTTCTCCTGAGTGGAAGGGGTAGGCGGCCTCCGAGGGTGAGTAGGGGAAGAGGTTCACCTTTCGTCAGCGATCTTATACGGGGTTCTGGGAGAGTAGCTGGCCTTAAGGAAAAAGCCAGGGGTTCCCGATGCCTAGCAGGGCAGGAACAAGGGGAGGTGGCCGTAGGGACTCAGACCCTGAAGGGTGGAACTACGAGGCACCAATCCATTAACTAGCGAGCAGTGATTGATTCTTCCCGTCGCCGTCGTCTACTTGGGAACCCCCGCCCCTCCCATCTC